CATACACCAAAAAAATATTTTAGCATACATTTTGGTTTTAATAAACAGTTTATTAAAGTCAAGAGAACATTGACCAATATTTAAAAAAAACTTTAAAAAATATTTTTGTTTGGTTTTAATATCAGGAATTACGAATTTATACATAAAACATATTTTCAGTATTAAAATATTTTTTTATTTAATTATTAATTTGCTTAGATTTTTTATCAAACCATAAAATAATACAGTTTTATTTACATAAGGCATATATGAGGTGCTATTATCTTCTTTTTAAATAACTAATTTTTGTATTCTATCTTTAAGACCAGTTAAAATTTTTAATTATTAAAATACTAGATAATAATTTTTAATTTATATTTTATTAATAAAAAATAAAAAAAAAATTATCTCTTTATATTTTACTGGATAAACTTACATACATATATAACATAAAAGTGATAGATAAATATCGCGATACTGCAAATGTGTGAAAACAATATTAAACTTGCCGTAATCGCTAAGTGATTTTATTAACTTCGAAGAGTCGGGACCTTCGTCTCCAGGTCTAGAAAATAGAAGATAAAACCAAAAAGCGAGAGAGAGAGGAAATAAAAAATATGGGGAGATTGTGGGAGGCCATAAGAAGTCAGGAGGTAGAACACCTTAAAAAGGTTGTTTTTCGTTACATGTGATGTCATTGATCAACCAAGACGTCACGCTATAATCTGGATGCAGACTTTTTGTTAAACGCCATCAACTTTCTTCCAAAATATAAATCTTATCCAGTTTTAATTTTAATAATTAATCACAAATTCAATCTTTTCGCCCCCCTCAAGGTGTGAAATATTGAACAAAAATATACTATAATCAAAACCATTTTTAATTAATAAAAATTAAAAACAAAATATACGTTATTCTTGTTATCTAAGGACATATAACTAGTAGTTGCTTTCCATCTACATTAATATATTTAATTTAATTATTCTTCAAATTAGATAAATGATATTTATATAAATGCAGTCGTGGTAACAAAATCTAATACAAATTATTAATGAGAAGTAAACGAAGTCCACATATACAGCCCCTTAGCAAACTCCCTCAAGATCACCATGGGCATGACCGTGAAAACCAGCAAAAAACAAGACCCATCACCTGCTTTTTTAGAAACAGTGGATGAAATCATGAGACTCTATAAATCACTTCCGTCACGGCCCTCCATTGAAGAAGTTGAAGCAGCCATTTCTGTGATCAAGACTGTCAACAGTGAAGAGCAGGCAAGGCTTGATGATATTGCAGAGCTAGACTGTCCTCAAGATGTCCCACAGGAACTCTTCTCCATGCTACAACAAGCGAGAAAGAACGTGGTGTTGTTTCAAAGCCAAGAACAGAGAAAGGAGGTTCTTTACTTGGTTGAAGTTGACAAGATGTTTGAGAACTTCGATGGGTTGATACAGAGAGTTTCTTTGTTGGTTTCTGGGGATACCCAGAAGGAGAAACTGATTTCTATCAGTGAGTCAGTTGAAAAAACTGAGAAAGAAAGTGTGGTTAGTGATGAAAGTTTGATCAAGAAAAAAGAGCATGGAGAATCGGATAAAGATGGCTTCAAGGATTTGGTGAAGAGCTCTTCCACGAAGGCTGCTTTCTTTTCGGGTAATCTTTAATGTTTCTTTGCTGCTTGGTTTCTTCGGAGTTTGTATATGCATACACTTGAAGATTGTAGAATCCGGGTATTCAAAGACAAACTCTGTTGATCACTTAAATTCTTGACATGCTTACATGTTCAAACTATTAAAAATGGGAAAACAAAATTAAACTTGTCTTCACTTCAGTTGCATATTTGGAAATTCAAGATTTTTTCAGAAATGAAGTTTTGCTTTCAATTTGATGTGATTATTCAAAAGAATATTGAGCTGGAATAGGCAAAGAAGAAGGTGTGTGTATTCTAAGATTTAAGAGTCATTAATTACTTGTAATTTATTAATTTTTTGGTCTAATTTTAACATGAAATTTTGAATCTTTAAATTTGTGATGTTGAAATATTCGTGTTAAATTCTGTTTGAATAGTTCTCTTCATAGTTGATGCCCTGGATAGCCAGCCAAAAGAGGTGCACTTACCCTGCTTGATTGTAATGCAGGTCTAGTGTGAGGTTAAAACTAGTAAGAGCAGAACAGAGAACAAATTTTAGTTGAAAATGATATTCTTATTTTGTTTCGTTTTTTTCACAAATGTTATGGTATTCTTAGTTTTTTTCGACAATTCTTTAATCTTTATACTCAAAAATTTTTTATTCCTTAATTCTAAGTGTGGATATTGGAGCATTACAGGTGAAGTGAACTCTGAGAAGCTGAGTCTGATGAAGGTGGCAGCAGTCATAGAAAAATCTGCAAATACTGGAGCTGTAGTTCTTGATCTTAGAGGCAAGTTGATGGATCAAATTGAGTGGCTTCCTCTGTCACTTGGGAAATTATTGTTCATTACTGAATTGGACTTGTCTGAAAACCGAATCATGGCACTTCCAACCACCATTAGCGGCCTCAAAGCCTTGACAAAGTTGGACGTCCACTCCAACCAACTAATAAACCTTCCTGGGTCATTTGGAGAGCTAATCAATCTGACCGATCTTGATCTCCGGGCAAACAGGTTAAGATCACTGCCAGCTTCTTTTGTGAAGTTGACAAAACTTGAAAATCTTGATTTGAGTTCAAATCAGTTCACTCAATTGCCAGAGACTGTTGGGAGTTTGACCAGCTTGAAGATACTAAACGTGGATACAAATGAACTTGAGGAGGTTCCTTACACAATTGGAAGTTGCACGTCACTTGTGGAACTGAGATTAGATTTCAATCAGCTCAGAGCACTTCCTGAGGCAATCGGAAAGCTTGTATGTTTGGAGATTCTCGCTTTGCACTATAACAGAATTAGAGGGTTACCTACAACGATGGGCCATCTTTCCAACTTGAGGGAACTTGATGTAAGCTTCAATGAACTAGAATCCATACCTGAAAACCTGTGTTTTGCAGAAAATCTCAAGAAATTGAGTGTTGCCAATAACTTTGCGGATCTAAGATCGTTACCACGAAATATTGGAAACCTCGAATTGCTTGAGGAGTTGGATATAAGTGACGATCAGATAAGAGTCTTGCCAGATTCTTTTAGGCTCTTGTCAAAATTGAGAGTTTTTCGTGCTGATGAAACTCCATTGGAAATCCCACCAAGACAAGTAACTATTTTGGGCGCTCAGGTAATGTTTGATAAACAGCTTTGGCTTACCAATCACTAAGTTTTTACCTGTTTCTTAAATGAGACTAACTTATTCAACTTTCCCTCATCAGGCTGTTGTTCAGTTCATGGACGACATCGTTAACAAGAGAGGCGCAAACCGTCAATTGTCGAAGAAGAAGGGGTTTTGGCACAGGGTCAGCTCAATCCTTTGGCCTTTCAGGAGCAGCTAAGCCATGTAGTTCACAAAACACTTGAAGTTATATGTTTAGCCTTGATGTGCATAGATTTATATATCATTCCTTAAGACCACGCTGGTTTTGCTTGTTTCTAGTGTAATGAGAGAAAAAAAAAAAAAAGATCTCTCTATATATATATTATGTGAAACAAAAGTCATCGAGTAATGACAAAATATTGATTTAATTTTTAGCAAGAGGAGCATTCGTTGCCCTACCTTGCGACCATTAATGACACTATCTATCCCAACCCTGCTAAGCTTTGAATCTAATGAGAATTCTAAATCTTAAACGATTACCTTTATCAATAATGAAGCCACTTCCCTTCGTCTAAATAGGACTCTCGTCGAGCTTGATTCAAAACAAGGTGGGAGTGGGAGTCTTTCTACGTAAGAAACATTTGTGAACTGTAGCCCGCCCATCTACGCCTTGTTTTTCTTTTCTACTGGAGAGGGTACGTTTATCCCTAGATAAGATTAATGTCTTAATGGAAATGGAGAATAGCTGAGTAGGAGTCCTTTAGGGGAGAGTCCTAAATGTCACTTACATTGAGAATCCTCTGAGAGCAACTTCCACGTTCTTATGATCATGTACATATTGGACAGACCTAGAAAGCGCTTGTGGATCTTCGTCGTCTTCTTCATGTTGTTAAAGATGGAGTGTCGGTTAGATACTGAATGAGGTTAACCAATTAAGCTACTTTTAAAAATCAACTTTATTATTTAATAATAATAATAAACAAGAGCACAAATTCTCTCATTTTTATTATTAGATAAGATACTTGAGATCATAATCTTCTTAATCGCCTCTTCAATCCATATAGTATTCGATGTAGAAGTGGGACAATTACATCCTAATTTTCCAGATCTTTTCTTTTTTGAACGAGCAGCACGCGCAGGTTGTGTACCAATGGTTAATGGTAAAGTATCTCATATTCTAATTCTGAATTATTTCTCAAAAATTATTTTTTAAAATAAAAATTAAAAAATAAAATAAAAATTAGTAATGTTAAGAAAGCACGTTAGGAAATCAAGCTGTGATTTTTAAAGAAATTTAAGGCTTAATTGCACTCTATTATGCCCAAAAATAGAAAAAAATACAAATTCAAGGCAAATTAAATTATTATTAAATAAATTTGTATAAAAATTAAGTTCAAGGACATAATTAAATTTTTAATATGCCAATTTGAATTAATCATGGGCCAAATTGAATTTTAATTATGTGTGAAATTAATTTGGATCCAATTGAATGATTTAAATTAAATACAGGGACTTAATTATACTTTAAATGAGTAAAATTAATTTTATTTAGGGCTTAATTGGTGAAAATTAAGTTTGGGAGCCTAATTTGGGCTTAATTGAGAAAATTAAAATTTTAAGAGACCAAATTTAATTTTTACCAAGTCAATTGATTGAAATTAAGGGCCAAATTGCAAGAAAATTGAAGTTTTTGGATCAATTAGGGATCAAATTAAAGAAATTGACAGCTAAAGATGTTTTAGGAAAGGCGCCAAAATTAAAGGGCTTAATTGACAAAAATCGGGGGTGAAATTGAAGAAATTAAAAGTTTAATGGTCATTTAAAGGTTAAATTGTATAAATCTGAGACCAATGACCGTATTGCAAAAGGCGCGTAAATCTAGGGCTGAAGTTGAAGTTATGTCGGGACCAAATTGCATTAAATCAAAATTTAGGGTCAATTAGGGATTCTATTGAATGAAATTGAAAGCTGGAGGGCTAAATTGAAGATCAGCAAAAATCCCTAATCTTAACCCAAAACGATGCCTTTTTTGCGTTAAAAAAACAAAGAGAGAGAGAGAGAGACCATGCGACGCGTCGCCTGGTAACTGTTCATCATCTTCCTCATGAACACTGCCCGAGTGGTAATTTTGAAGGTGCATGTAATGCCTCGTATAACCCCTAAAATTGACAACACATGCACCAAAATGGCCACCTAAAATTCCTCTATCACTGTGTATTGTCCATTCAAGCCTATAAACTTCAAAACTACTCCGATGACAAGCCTAAAATGGCCACCTCAAGTAGTCTTGGACTGTCAAATTTGGCAATTTAAGGTACACACTTTGAATTGACGATTTAGATTCTTCTAATTAAATCAAAGACTGAAAATTCTTCCACCGTGAAGATGAGATTGCCCTCTTTCACTACATATAAATAGAGGTGGATTTCATGGCCTGAAGAGAAAGAAAATCAAGTGTAAAGTTACAAAAAACCAGCCTTTCTCCCTGGTTTCCATCTTTTTCTGCCTTTTCCTTCTCAGCCGTACCATTGATGGCCACCATTCTCACCATCGTCCTTCCCACTACATTTTACATCACAGCTACACATTTAACAACCTCACGTGGTGACTGCACCACCTCCCTCTCTCTTTATCCACTCCAGTTGTAAACAACCTTAGCACCGACCGCGATAGCTGTAGCACCTGCAACTCGAGCAGTAGCAACCCTGACGGCTCAACTCTCCATCGTTGCCACCACTTGCACTGCATCGTCTTCCTCGATCGGACCACTCTCATGCTAGGTAACTTTCCTCTTTCCTTCCCTTCCCTTTTTCTTCTTTGCTAATGCTTGCTATAAACAGTATGTGTGAATTATAATTCACGTCCTACTGTTCACATGACTAGTGGGCGTGAATTATAATTCACGCCCACTACTCATGCAGTGGACGTTGGGCCGGGCTGAATATGGCCTAGCCCAAATTTAAGGGCTTGGTCCAGCCCAGCCAACAGTCCGGGCCAACCCAGCCCATGTAAATTTTTATTTTTATTTTTTATTATTTTTAATAATATATTATAATATTAAAAAACAAAACAATTTCAAAAAAATCAATTTTGCACAATATCGAGTTGTATATTTACATTGTAAAATACAAATTTAGTATTAAAATACTCAATTTTCTACGAAATATTTAAAAAAAAATATTTTCATGCATACGGCCAAATCCTAAAAATTTTCCAAACATGTTTTCAATTAAAAAAAATTGCATATTTCTCATGTTTTGAAAACAAAAAAAAAATGAATATCACAACTAGTTTATGATCATCCATTAGGATTTGGCCAAAATATCAAAAAAAAAATTCCAATTTTTTTTTAGGATCCATATGTAGACTTTAATATTTGTGGGTGTAAAATTATACAATAAAATACACCCTCGTATATTAGAGATACAATGTATAAATAAATATGATGCTAAAATTTATATTTAGAACGGTTAGGATTTAACTCGATAAGGTAGAGACTCTTTTATGAAGAAAGATCCGCTTTAAGTTTTAGAAAAGACCAATAAATAGAAACTCAACCTAAAAAAACAATCAAACAACAATGCAACTTACCTTGAGTAGGGTGTACTGGGGGTGATGCATATTACTCTTACATAACCAGTCTCTTACCCAGACTCTCGCAGACCATAAGTTCCTAGTAATCATAATATTAGGTGGTGATTCCTAAATCTTAATCATAATTTTATGATTAAATTCAAAAGCCTTTTCAATATATAACACCTCACACAGGTGGCACGACAAGGAACCTTTGTTGTCGTCAGATAACTTTGCGTCGGCATGCCCCGCAACAAAATACATTGAAATTTAATGAAGGGATCATATTAAAAATATTTTTTTGAATTGAAGCATCGACCAAATATACAAATATTATGTAGTTTGAAAAGGGCAATTGAAATTCTATAAATGCAATTGATTAAAGCAATTAAAATGAATAATGCAATTAATGTCTATGCGTTTCTTTTAAAATATCATATTAAAATTTCTTTTACCTTTTGTAAAATTCAGATTGAATAACGATTGTATTTTTTTCAATAAGACCTTTCGTAGGACTAGCATTAAATGCAGCATAGCATTAGAAGTAAAAACAATGTAACAATTCCTTATTTTAAAAGAATATATATATATATATATATATAACAAAAAAAACAATTTTTCAACAGGAAACTATTTTCTTTTTATATTGAACATTAAAATTACAAATATAAAAATTAATAAATATGCAATGGCAAATAAATGTTGTTCTAACATTTTTATGCATGTAATTAGAAATAATAAGTATGAATGATATTGTGGTGTATAATATTTTTTAATTAAAAATATATTTAAGTATTTTTATTTTTAATATTAATATGTTAAAATTATTAAAAAAATACTGAAAAAATTAATTTTATATTTTTTCAATTAATTGTTTTTGAAAAACAGAAAAAAAACGAACACTATAGCCTTTTTTTTTGTTTTTTTGTGCATGGGGGGCATTATAGCTTTCCTCACATGTTATTGTGGATTGATATAATATTTTTGTTGTTTTTTTTAAAATTATTTTTGTCGATTTTAATTTTTTAATATTGAACAGGTTAAAAATTTAGCTTTGTGATTTTTTTCTTTAAAATATTTTGAATTGCTACAGTGTTTCCCCCACATAGTTTTTTTGTTATGATTTTTTAAAAAATCACAGTTTTTTTGTTATGATTTTTTAAAAAATTATTTGTTGATTTTTTTAATATATTGTTTTGGGATAACCCGAGGTATCTGGGTCAGTTTACGGGCACCACGACTAATCTCCAGACCCACTGAACATCCTACAAGCCATGTAAGCAGATAAGGCACTACAGGGATGATAGGCATGCATATTAAGGCTTGAATTTAGGATACAGAGGCAAGGAGACCCTGCCAGAATTGTTGGGCTACAAGGCTTGATGCTATTTTTTTAATATTGAGCTGGTTGAGAATTATAGTTGTGGCTTTTCTCACAAAAAAAATATACCTAAAACATATGGAGAAAGTTTTATAGTTTTCCTCACATGTTATTGTTAATTGCTACAGTTATTTTCTTTCTTTTTTTTGGTTTTTTATTTTTGAAAATTATCTTTGTTAATTTTATATTTTTAATACTGAGCTGATTAAAAATTTAGTTTTCTTATTTTTTTTTAAAAACACTGTGAATTGCTATAGTATTTTTCCATATAGTTTTTTTGGTATGATTTTTTTAAAATTATTTATTAATTTTATTTTTTTAATATTAAGTTGGTTAAGAATTATATTTATAACTTTTCTCACAAAAACAATTTGGTTGAGAATTATATTTGTAACTTTTCTTAGAAAAACAATATACCTAAAATAAGTAGGAAAAGCACTATAGCTTTCTTCACAAGTTACTGTTGATTGCTTT